TTACGATATTTTGAGCTATATAATCATGTTCAATTTTTCGAAAATGTGAGTATTTTTCGTGTAATTGTGCCCAATATATAGGCAATTTTAAAATTTGCACAAGACCCTCTTTTCTCAAAAACCGCTTCAATATTTTTCCTCATATAGGGATAGTAAAACATGTTTCGGTGAACTCTCCATATTTTCGAGAAGTGCACAAACGTTGTTTCAAAACTACAAAATTGAAGATAGAGAGTTTTCCTTTCGACAGCGTCTGTGGTAAAAAATCATATGTTTTAAAACAGTCACGTCCAATTTTTTGCAGAAACTAGTAGTTTTCTCAGAATTTTTACATGAAATTAATATAATATATAAAAAACATTTTCTCAAAAACCGCTCCAAAATTTTTCTTTAAATATTTTCCACGGATAGAAGGCACGAATAAAAGAATGGCACAGGTCGCACTTTCGTTGAACATTTTATTTTCAAAATTGCAAATTCATAAATAATGTGCGAAAGTATGTGCTATTGAGCACCGCTAGTCGAATTTGTGAAAAATTATTTGCTTTAAAATAATTAATTTCGCACAAATAATGTACTATTGTGTTCCAATTATCATATTTAAATAATATAAGACAATTGACCTTATTTTCATGAATGTTTCAACGCGATGTTTCAGATGTCCTTCAGATCTAGAGGTTTAATTTACAGCCTATTTTTACCATTATAAAAGTAGGATTGCTAAGCATGGTAAAATCATTCAAAAGTTAGATCGCATTTTGTAATCAAGGCAAACTTGGGTGAAATATAACTTGCGTGTCTATATAATATGCTACAAATAATGTAACAGTAACTGTTTTTCAAGTTTTATTTCTTTTGTAGAAGTACAAAATTACTACTGTCCCTGCCTGTCGCAATTATTGCGGATTCCGATCCTACGTAATTTCTTTGAATTTGTTTGGACTTTTTAAAGAAATTGCTAAAGTGTATGTAGGGCGCTCAGTGCTCGTATTTTAGCACTTCAAGTTTGATTTACCATATCGTCTATCTTCTATAACAAACTTTTTCAAAAATGTATTGTTCATACCACCAGTCTGCTATGAATATTCTTAATAAGCATTATTTTAATTTATGCAACTATAGAAGGTATTGCTGTTATAACTTCAGTTGTTGAAATTGGAGTTCCTACAGTTGGTACTGCTCATGATATGTTTTGTAGATCCTAGTGAAATGAAAAAGAAATCATTCCTTTGAGACATCCAACAAAACACACTTGCAGCAAAAGAAGGAAATCCGTCTTTCTTATAATAAACGGGAATTGATTTTATACTTGCAGTATAAAATAATTATATAGTTCTAATGCAGTAAAATGTGAAATTTGCGTGAAAGGAAAAATACATATTACTGCTCTCTAGTAAAAAGGTCCTTTCTCTTATAAGGAATTCTTTTCCCATTTACTGTAGGTGCGTTTATTTGAATCTAAAGAAAGTAAACTGTTTTTTTTATTTTAATAGAAATACCTTTAATTGCAAAGTTCCTGATTGAATCGAACCGTGAACAGCTGATTTACGGCAAGTACAAGGTTAAATAAATCCTAGTATAGTAATTGGGTCTAACGAGTACGATATAAAAATGGGCTTAACAGCTTTTCTTTAAAAACTATTATCGGAAAAACAGTCGTCTCGTAATAACGGGTATTAATAAGAGTTGAAAAATAACAGATTCATAATCAGCAACCTAACATGGCCGATTGTGGCCAACTGCTAAGAGTTAAATCAGTTGTGGCAAGAGTTAAACCAGGCAAAACGAATAACGTTGGTAGCGCCGGCGTAAAGCTTGTGCAGCCACCTCACGGCTCTTGCTTGCACCACTTCCCTAACCACCACCATGATTGGACGGAGAAACAGCTGATATGAACGAGCCTGAATGAACTGACAAGGAATAATAGTAATTGATGAGTAGCAAATGTGTCTGGAATGTTACTAAAATAACAGTGATTCGTGATTCAGGTTCGAATTGCATATATTCTTTGAATATGCAACTTGTGCATAGTGAAGTGACGAGTGCCTAAAATAATGAAGAGAAACTGTTTTTGCTTACCTGCAGCTAAAGAAGTAAGGACGGTTGAATATCAAATATTACAATGCTGGTTATTTGAGCGGAGCTAATTTTATTTTATACGACTAAGGGAAATCTTTGGCTCTCACCTAATCAGCAATGAGACAAAAATAAGTTAACGTACATGTTGGATGGATTTAATTTAAAGGATACACTTCTTATTCTAGTTTATACAATACAAATGTAAAAATATTGTGGCGCATGGTGTGTAATAATGATGAATTGTTTATTAATGAATCTAGAATTCGAACACTTGCTAATAACGATTGATTAACTGCAATGAAATAGTTCTAATACAAAATGGTTGCCGCGAAAGGTTGTAGTAGTTACGATTTGGCCCACTAGATTGCAATGCTATGCATTTCAACCGATAACAACTAATAAAATGATAAACAAAATAACGGTTATTTCTCGTAGCTGTTACGAAACGTAAAGAGTTAAGAAAAAACAATTCGTCTCTTAAGATTCCCTAGCCTTCACTAGTACGAGAATGAATAATTTTGTAGGACCATTTAGGTTAAACAGGTTAAAAACGCCCGTCCAACTTTAGATTATGGAAATACTTCACGTAAGCCCCTAGGACAAAATTCTCAAAACTGGCTCCAAATTATTTTTTTAAATCTTTGTAAGAGTAGAAAGAAATACTCTTATAAGTGTGGGCTAGGTTGGATTTTCACTGTTAATCTTAAATTATCGAAAGTTTCAAATGTTTTGTACCCTCTTAACAGCATAATTGAAGATGCATCACTGAAATAAAATGTATTCTCCACTTTTACTGAGTTTAGTAGTAGTATAATACTGCATTGCCATTATACATAATGTGAGAAAGTACGTGCTGTTGTAACACCATTGATACTATTCTAGATCTTTTATTATATATTTAATCTAGGTTTGTAAAACTATGAAATGCTCTAGGAAGAAATAATGTTGAAGTAAAGGATTTTTTTAAATAAAAATTCATGGTTAAATAAGGTCAATAAAGGAATAGATTTTAAACTTTTTATTTTAATGATATTCTTTCCAAGGAAAAAGTCATGTTCCAGAACACGAAACTAGTTTAAAGAAAAACGTTGATACTAGGCGTTACAGTCGTAGTGGATTCAGGATGTGGGGTGCAGGTAAGCACCACACAGAATACAGAAGATGCCTGCAGCCTAAAACCGTGATTCTGAAACACATGGAACAGAAGAGGGTGAGTTGTCATATATACAGGTATTATATTGAAGCATGGAAGGAAGTTGAGGGATTGAGATGAGTAGTAAGCTAATATAAGTAGTACGAAAAATAATGCATAAAATGAATATGAAAACCATGACGTCGTTGATTTACAGGTTAACAACTTTTAACTTTCTCACCTTACTTCGTAAGATAAGAAAGAATTTAAATCGTATGCCGGAAATCCGCAATTTTCATTTACTCATATTTGCGGAAAATTGTTGTGTGGTCTCATTTCAAGATCAATGTTTGAACAACGTAATTTATTTTCCCAAAAAATCTATCTTTAATATTATAGAAGTGAGAAAACGCCGCAAAAAGCTGGAACCAAAAATTGAAGTTTTTACAAAAATGAAACCCACTCTATTTTATAAACTTTTTACGCTATTCGAGAACAAAGTTTAATAAAAATAACTTGCAGTCATTTTCGACAAGAATTTCGGAAGTGTTATGGAAACAACATGTAAAGTACCCCACAAAATCAAGCTAATCGTTTCGAAGTCTCATGGCCTCGAGTTCATTCAGATCTATTAGGGAATATCAATTCTGGAAAGAGTTGCTGCCTGTCGAACGGAGAAGCATACGTTACATCAATCGATTTTTCGGACTCAAAGACCTATAAAACAAGAATTGTGACTACACAACGTGTCAGAGGAAGTAATTTATTACATATAGCGACAAGATGTATCTACTTTCTCGCTATTAGGGCCCATAAGTAAGTATTTTTACTTTCTCGCTTTATTTCTTAAGAAGAGGAAGTATTGTAATAATGCGCCGGAAAACGGTGAATTTTCGGCAGAAAAACTCTTATTGCCGGAGTCTGGTAACAAAACGTGGATAAATCTTGTTCCTACTTAGTAAATTACTTGCTCTACCCCGCCGTATAGTTAGAATCCATGTTTTGTGGGTCCTTGAAACCGAAAAGTCAATTGACGTCAAAACATCGGTCTGTCTTTCCGTCCGTCCGTCCATCCAGAAATCTATCCATCAGTCCGTCTATGGTCAACTTAGTGAATTCTGTTCTTCAAAGATCATGTACATGTTTTCGAAAATATGAGCAGTTTTCGCGTAATTTTGCGTGAAATATTAATATTTTTGAGTTTTTAGACTTTTTTTATCAAAAACGCTTCCACATGTTTCCTTAGATTTTCTCCTCGTGTGTAAAAAAAAAAAACAAACGAGGAAAACTTGGTTGCAAGTCCGAATTGTCAAAAATTGCAAAATTTATTTTTTGTTCCACTTTCTCAATTTCGAAAAATGAAAATGTATAAATAATACGAGAAAGTTTGGTCTGTCGTAGAACCATTTCTTCTCTTCGATTTCTTTAAACTTGTGAAATTCATTGAATCAAATTAATTGATTTTGTTTTAGAAAATCGGAATTTATCAAAGGGCCACAAGACCCAGAACTTCTCTGGTTGAAATTGAAATATCCTAAATGAAGTATTGAACGATGAAATAAAAGGAAACGATGTACATATTTAACATGCCTGTGAAAATATGTTTCTATCTTGGACTTCGGCAAGAACGACCACAGCCGTTACTACAGCACTTCATATTGCCTTGACAATTGTTGTCGTTCACACACATGTTAACACATAGGCCAATACCGGGCGGTGGGCACCTGCCTGGCTTTTGGGCCTCAGTGTGCCGCATCAGGAGCGCAACCACAACCAGCAGAACGAGTACCTTTGTGTATCCGGCCATGTCGAAGCGAGAGTGGATGTGTTCGGAGACTGATGCTGCGGCATCTCGCTGCTCCCGTTTTATACGATCCAATTTTGACCTAAGACTAGATAGGGATTCCCCTGTAAAGAAGCAGGAAACTTTTCAGAGATGATTTCGCCTCGTATTGCAGGTGGAGTGGAGACTCCTGTGCATTGCCTGGGTAATTTCCCCCAAGGCCCCAAGACGACGTGGATAAGGAAAGACGCTTGACCGCGTGGGTTCTCTGTTCCGTCTTGTTGGTTCTTTTTATCTTAGAATAAATTATTCGCCAATTTTATTTTTCAATCCCCAGGTGAACTTGGACTAAGTGAAGAGAAACAAAATCTCTATGAAAATCACGCAAGAAGTAGTGAATTTTATATGTGCCCCCCCATCATATAGAAATTCTCATAGTTTTTATTGTTCAAGAAGTGAAATCTGTGACGATGTCAACCCACCTAGGGGATAGTACTTTTGCATAAGGACTATTTCTTTTGGCTCTCTCAGTGGCTGGCCAACACATTTATAAACGCATACCATTCTTTAATGTGTGTCTGTCTCCCGCTTTGCCGGCTTCTCCCACTCATTCTCCTCCGCCCCCCCCCTCCATTTGTTACTTCCGCTCGCATCGCTCATCGCTTACTTACACTCGCATCGCTCATCGCCAGGGCTTGGATTGTGATGTCTTTAAAAATTGTTTGAAAATGACGTATAAGATGACTCAAAAATAAGAAGAAAATTACCTATAAAATGACTTAAAAATAAGGGAGAAATGACTTTTTTAAGTCCTAAAAACTGTATGAAAATATTTATTCAATGAATTTTACAATTCGAAACAAAATTAATTTATATGAAATTCTATTTAACATAAATTCTTCATTTTAGGTGGAAATGTAATTCTTGGCTCTGATCTTCCTATAGTCAGATTGAAAAGACAAGGAATTTACGGAAGATCCATTTAATTTTGAGAGTTTCAAAAACGGAGTCCACTTCAACAGTGAATTTCATCATGAACTGATAGTACAACAAACTGTTGGTTTTAGTGTGTCATTGTAAATTTATAACACATTCACTAACAAAAAACCAAGAAAAGGAAACAAAATGCATACAAACGTCAAAAATTACGCAAAAATGACCAAAAATTGAAAAATTAATAAAAATTGCCCTTTGACAATACATGTCTATCATCTACGTCGTGACAAGCATTCATTTACAAGTTTGCTACGTCGAGAATGAAGTAATGAAAAGATGACGTCATCAGGATTCGAGCCGTGCTCATCATGCTCTACCCCCACCTTGCGCTCCCTCGGCTTCTGCTTCCCCCTCCCCTCTCCTCGCTCCTGCGACTCGATCATCGCCATCAAACTCTCATTCGAATGCACACACATACAGAAATTTATGTAATAGATTGTTTGTATGAAATACACACGAGGGGCGTGTAAAGAAATGGGGAATATACGAAAATAATTCTTTTCATATTATTTTTAATACGAATACATTAGAGTTTGGAATTCGTTTGAGAAGTCGACTGCGAGAGTGAACCGGTTCGACGTCACTACGATTCTCGATAGGCGTTGCTTCCGAACACCTGCGCGATCAGTTGTGCGTAAACTTTCCTGCTTCCTCGGTGTCTGGGGAACTCCCCTGCACAGCTGCAGCAACTTAAGGAGAAAATAGTTGCTAGACATTCCGAAATGTGTGGTGTTACAGTATTGGACAGACTTTCTCGCACCACAGTGCCAGCCGGCAGCGTATAAGAGAGCTTGAATGTTCTCTCGCCACATGCAGTAGCACGTCATATGATCTTCTCTGAAGCAATCAGCTTGCGAGGATTTGTTTACTTTCTCACAACCAAAGTTCAGAATCGCCGCTTATCCGGTTCACGCGAAGTCGCAGAGGAGATAAGGTTCGATTCTATGGCGAAGATCATGAGCATGATACCAAGACGTGTCGTCGCCTGTCAGTGAGCGTTACTGTTTTGAGATTTCATTTATCCGCCATGTAGGTGATGCCATGAGCGTAGTAATGCATCGAACTGTCAGAGTCGCTTATACCCTGCAAGTACTGTAGATAGTTTTTTTCTCAGGGTAGACTGCTTTCTCAGTATTTCCCATCATCTTTCCAGCAGCTACTACCTACCGGCGCGACAATTTTTTCATAGTTTCTCAATTTCTCGGTCCCTGAAGAAATGTTTTTAAAAATTAACAGAATGTAAATCATCCTGTATGCAAATTTTCATTGAAAACTTTGAACATGTTTCTAAGAAAATATCGCTTTAGAGTAACTGATTACTCTGGCTAACAAACCAATTTGAACGTTTCCTTCACTTTGTAAGTCAAATATTACTCATTGTGGGTGGATAAAAACCAATAACAAAACTTTTTTGTTAGCTTCTGTTTCTGTTATATACATACAAAAGATAGAAATATTTATTTTAACATATTAAGAGAAGACTACACTTTAATGATACATGCCAACAATATCGGAAGTTCTCTTGAATAGTTTTAAATGACTTATTTAAATTTTTAACCATTTAAATGACTTATTTAAATGGTTATATATAAACAGTTCTTAATTGCTGGGAAATACCTGATTGCTGGTTTGGAGGGAATTATGTGGTGGCTTTATGAGATCGACATCTTTTGGCTTCCATCTCGTGATACACACCAGTAGGTGTCCGCAAGCATTACTTCCTTACAACCCCTGATATCTTTGTTCCATTGAAGAATTGTCCTGATGGAATCTTTCTCCGTGTTCATCTCTGACTGCTAGGACGGGAAGGTCTAAGTTGGAGTGGAGAAAATGGATTTTAAGGAACATGTTGCATCCGAGTTTATAGTATTTAGAGTTTATAGTTTATAGTAAAAATAACAGTAATTTACTTTTGAAATATAGTTATCATAAATTAACAATACACGATACCCTCTTTAGCATTTGCGGCGCATTCTCTAGTTCTTCATAACAATTTATATTCTCCCTGCATTCTTTCCACAAGGTTTTTACACTTTTCTGAATTTGTTCATCCCCAAACCGTATGTCTATGATGTTTCCGATGAGGCCAGTTCTGGTTGTTATTTTTTTCTTCAATTTTGTGATTACAATTCCCGACAAATTTTCAATAGGATTGCAGTCTGGACTATTATCACGCCAAGGCGATGACTATGTTATTTTCCTCCAAGAATTTCTTAACAGACATGAACTAATGACATGGAGCTCCGTCACGCATAAAAATGTAATCTTTGTCAGGAAACCAATCCTTGATCTGAAAAAGCAGCCAGGTTTGAAGCACCTTTTTGTACTGATTTTGCTCCATTGTGCCCTCAATAATGTCTAATCCGCCACATCATGAACTGACATTCAACTCCACTCCATAACTGAAGGTTGATATTTGAATCTCTGAGTGATTCTTTTGGAGAAATCGCGTTTTTCAGAGGTCATTCTCACGTACTGGCTGCTTTTCTTGGACAAAAAAAATGAGCTCGTCTTAAAATATTACCTGCATGACAATAAGCAATAATTATTTCGACTTTTCAAAATAATGTTTTGAAAGTTTAGAAAATAAATACGTATGTCTTATAAAGTCAAATAAAGTTTCTCGAGAACTCTACCGTTTTCTATGAAAACTAGCTCAAAATTCCGCATTTTCAGAAACTGCCAATGCTATTTTTCTCAAAGACGGCTCCAAATTGTTTCTTCAAATATTTCGACGGATAATTCCAATTGCACTCTTTAGCATGACGTTTCGGTGTAGCAAGTTCATTTCGGTGTATTTTTTGGTTTTTCAAAAATTACACATCTGATTTAAGGTCTCTCAGCGCGTTGGTATGTATATTTGCAGCTATTTGTAAACACTATTGCATTTCTGAGTAGAAGTACTTAAAATAACTTCAAATTATTTTTTTCGAAAACTCAAAACTTTTCTGTGAAAAGAGCTTCAATTTTCGAATTTACAGTAGCTCTTAAACTCCAGTTTTTTTTAAACCACTTATTTTTTTAAAACCACTTAAAACCAGCCATTTAAGAGGAGTTACTGTTCTTTAATAATCGTAAAATTATGTTTCCAGTCTACAACTAAGGAACCGAAAAATTAAGAAAATGTCAAAAAAATAGACTTTGGGTGGCGATATATAGTAGCTGGCAAGAGTATGTGGCAAGTCCGAGTAGCTAGCCGCAAGCAAAGGAAATAGAAAACTAATACGGGAACGTCTGTGCCGGTCTATGGCACTACTAGTTTTATTTGATATTGTGTTAGTACATTGGAAGTTATTTTTAAAAAATTTTAAACAAAAAAATACGTTTCATTAACAACTTTTCCTCTTAAAATGGAAATAGAAGGATAGAGAATAGTGTGGGGTTTAACATGAGAAAGTTCTCGCATGGGTATGGGAAAACTTGTGCTAGGGCACAACACAAAGAACAACCTTGTTAAATTAACTAAAGTAAAATATTTTGAAATAAATGAACAACAGAAATCAAAACGCGCTAGTCTACGCGAATGAATTTTAAAAAGCAACCAAATTGAAAATTATAGAAAGAGTAGTCACTCGAAAACTGCCAACGATCACAATCCAGACGCACGGTTTAAATGTTGACGGTATCTAAAGTCCGTACACCAATGCCCATCAACTCATATTGTAAATAATACACCGTTTGATACCAAATTACGGCGTCGGTTCGCTGAGATATTCATTACATAAGCATCGTTTGAGCAACATTCCCGTGTACCGAAGTGAAGTCTAAGCCTTCTGAATTGTTTCTCGAGGTAACAAATAGTATGCATTGCTTAAAAGTGAAAATATTGGAGTTGTTTTTTGTTGCTCGGAATTGCTTTTCTTGGGGTACGTAATAACGCACAAAATAATCCAATACTTTTTAGTATACAAATATTTTTTTAATTTTTGCACATCAGCAAGCTGACGCTCTGTCCTTCCAAAACACCCTCTGTTCCTCCTAACAAATCCAGGAAAGTTAAATAAAATGCAAAGAGTAGGGTTGTACTTGCTCGAGCCTGTATTTTCGCATGGAAAGCTTTCCTTGACTTTCCCAAGAGTAAAAATCTTTTCTAATATTTTTGTGACTATCAAGGAAAGCAAAAAGCTAA